TGGAGCAGCAGAAATCAAGCTTGCTCCATCCTCAATATGACATCCCTTAAATTATTTAAACAGGGCTATCATATCGCCTCTTAACCATCTCTTCTCTAGGCTAAACATCCCCAGCTCCCTAAGTCGTTCCTCATAGGGCATGGTTTCCAGACCCTTCACCATTTTAGTTGCCCTCCTTTGGACACGCTCCAGTTTCTCGACATCCTTTTTGAATTGTGGTGCCCAGAACTGGACACAGGATTCCAGGTGAGGCCAGACCAAAGCAGAATAGAGTGGCACTATTACTTCCCTTGATCTAGATACTATACTTCTATTGATGTAGGGTTAGGAAACAGCCAGGTGCATCCTTCCTCTGCCTTCCCCCTGCAACGAACATTTAAACAAGAGCAAAAACTTGCTGGACATTTGGCAGCGGGTATCAATGTTCATCAAGCATGTTTCTGCCCCCCCCACACACCACAGTAGTTGCGTGCTGGGTCTGTTGCCTGTCACAAAGCATTGCCCTTCACTTTGAGATGTGCTGTGATACTGTCTCAAATACACACACACACACACACACACTCATATAAAACACTTGGGGGGAAGGATGATGTGACCTCCCACGCAGTTAGCAGATTGTGCAAGCTTCAGCCAAAAAGCCCTGGACACTAATCCAGCTCCACCTTACATATCCACAAATCACAGCATTGGAAGCAATGGGTTCCTGATAACAAGTTATTCGTAATGAATCCCTCTTTTACACTAACAAAGGCACAACTAAGTTACAAGACAACCGTAATGCATTTAAGAAGTACAACATGTTTGTAATGTAATTAACAACGCAGTGAGGAATGTAAGGCAGGCAACACAATGAAGAAGATAATTATAGAGTCCACTACCCTCCAAGGCAATGTATTTCACTGCCAAACAGCTCCTGCAGTCTAGAGGTTCTTCCTTGTGTTTAGGTAAAATATTGAGTTATTTGAAACCTCTATTTCTGTTCCCCGAAGGAAGGGATTCCCCCGACATTTGGAGTTGTGGTCCAGCACAGAATCTTAAAATTGTAGAACCCTGGAGTTGGAAGAGACTGCAAGGGTCAGCAAGGGTTACCTATTCCAACCCCTTGCTATTCAGAAATACAGTCCTGAAATATTCCCATCCAACTTCTGTTTAGCGACTTCAAAAAGAGAGTCTGCCTCCCTCCAAGGCAATCTATTCTACTGTAGAACAGCTCTTACAAACAGAGAGAGAGAGAGAGAGAGGAAAAAAAAAGTTCTTCCTAATGTTTAGGTGGAATCTCTTTCCGCATAATTTGCATCTGGTAAGTGGTGTAGTGGTTGGAGCATCAGACTATGACTCTGGAGACCAGGGTTCGAATCCCAGCTTGGCCATATAAATCCACTTGGGCAAGTCACACTCTCTCAGCCTCAGAGGATGGCAATGGCAACTCCCTCTGAAGAAACTTGTCAAGAAAATCCCGTCATCTGGCCTTAGAGTTGCCATTAAGCCAGAAACGAATTGGAAGGCACACAACAACAAAAAAACTAATTTTGTTGCCACCTTGGGTCCCTGTACTGGGAGGAAGGCAGAAAATAATTAATAATAATAATAATAATAATAATAATAATAATAATAATAATAATATCCAAAGCCTTAGAACTGTAGCCAATCATTTTCTAAAAGCAGCTTTCTGAACTCTTGTCTGAAATAGTTCAGTGCCAGAAGACTTAATTCATGAGTGTGAATTGTGGGGCCTTTCTGATGCTGTGGACTGCATGTCCCAGCATCCATAGCCATCATCGCTAAAGGTGAGGAATGCTAGGAATTGCAATCTCTACAACCTTCACCATCCAGAGAGACCTTTAAAATGATCACAGCGCAAGGAAGAATACAAATAAAAGGAGAGGGGAATGTCCATTCCTACAGCTGCTCTCTTCTCTCCTTCATCTTCCTGTACCTTGTAAGAATAAGACTTTTTTATAACAAGGAAAGGAAAGGAAAGATTGACATCTTCTCCAGCATAAAGCTCAAAGCCGGTCACACATCTGGACTTTGCTCGTAATTAGCCAAGCAAGCCCCTTTCTGTAATTACAAGTGCAGGGTCACCGTATGTAATTCTCTCCCCCTTTTGTTTGCCTTTGGTAAACATTAATCATGCTGCAAAAGAACAGATGAGTGAATGAATGAAGGGCTCTGGGAGAGCTGGTGACCCCAACCTCTGTTGGATTCATGGCTGATCATAGCGCATCTTCCCCACTTTCTGAGTACAAAGTGGCTCCTCTTTGTTTAAGAGAACTCTGCAAAAAGAGCTCCAGGGTTTGGGAGCAGTTCTCCACTTTCAGCCGCCTCCGTGTGACAAAAGGGATGTGGACAAGCTGGAGCATGTCCAGAGGAGGGTAACTAAAATGGTGAAAGGTCTGGAAACCATAAAGCCCTATGGGGAGTGACTTAGGGAGCTGGGTATGTTTAGCCTGGAGTAGAGATGGTTAAGAAGTGATATGATAGTCATGTTTAAATATTTGAAGGGATGTCATATTGAGGCAGGAGCAAGCCTGTTTTCTGCTGCTCCAGAGAATAGGACCTGGAGCAATGGATTCAAGATACAGGAAAAGTGATTCCACCTCAACATTAGGAAGAACTTCCTGACGGTGAGAGCTGTTTGACAGTGGAAGACACTCCCTTGGACAGTGGTGGAATCTCCTTCTTTGGAGGTCTTTAAACAGAGGTTGGATGACCATCTGTAGGGGATGCTTTGATTGTGATTTCCTGCAGAGCAGGGGGTTGGACTGGATGGCCCTTGGGGTCTCTTCTATATTTCTATGATTCCTCCTCCAGGGGGTGAGTTCATAATAATCTTTTTTCCAAAGTGAGTTTTTTCACATTCGATTTTTCAACCCAAGAGGACCACACAAGTGTGCCTCCTCCATCAGGCAACCTGCTACGATTCTGAGCAGAGAAGCATCTTGTATGTGGCTGGAAGATATTTCAGTTCCCAAGCCTCCATCATATTGACTGCCATCCTGAAACTTGAGCAAACAACATAAGACAGGAGGCATGGCCCATGTAATTGGGTGGTGTTTCTAATTAGTAGGGAAATGAAGGCAGAATCCTAAAGAGGGGGTGAGGGAAGCTCTGAATGGTGTGTGAGCCAGCATCCACTGGAAGAGATAAAGCCAGCGCCATGTCAGCGATCAATGAAGTCACCTCTTTGCTGGACAAGGAAATCAATACTGAGTCCGACGAGTTTCAACAAAAAGCTGCTCTGTATTCCATATACAATCCAAGCATTGTGCGGCAGAAGACAAGGGAAAGGCATGTGCGGCACTGTGCGCGGCTACAGCTGCCATCCACAAAGTCTAATCTTAGCAGCACCAAACTGGCAGCTCATTCCAAATGTGCTTCTACTATGTTCTACTATTTATGCTTTGGAAGATAAAGCTGCCATAGTCCCCCCCACAGACACTTGAGTAAACTCTATGAATGTTAATTATTCTACAAAGTTTCACTAAATATATATTGTGTGTGTGTGTGTGGGGGGGGGGTAATAAACACTTAGAGTGTATCCGCACTGCACAATTATAGCAATTTGATATGCTAACAGCCACAGTGCTGTGCTATGGGATTTGCACTTTGGTGGGGGACTTCGAGTCCTCTGCTAGAGAGTTCTAGCATATGCCCTTGAATTTCAGCATTGGATTTCCCTCATGGGGAATTCTAAGTATAATTGGCATTTTACAATGTAACTCCTAGATCTGGAAACATGGATCTGTAACTTTTCATTTCTACAACATCAGCAAGATGTGATCCTATAGTGGATTGTATGTTTTTCTTTTTTTATTTACTTTATGGAACAATGAAGTTCTACTTTAGAACTACAAGAAGTGTCTACATGCTTTTAGCATGGGAAAGGCTGATGAAGGAAGCTGTTCTTCACTATATTCTGCTGTACTCTGTACTCTGCTGGATTCTTCACATCACATCCAAATATCAACATCATCCACCACTTGAAAATATTCCAAATGAATTAATAATTCCCAAAAAGGAAACCTTGATTTTTGCCATTTTATATAAGGGACCAAGCTGGAAATCTCCCTGGAAGCCAAAGGGATTATGCTGAGGCTGTCGTACTTCGGCCACATCATCATAAGACAGGACTCACTAGAAAAGACAATAATGCTAGGAAAGGTGGTGGGAAGGAGAAAGAGAGGAAGGCCACATGCTAGATGGATGGACTCTATTAAAGAGGAGGAACATTTCTCATAACAAGGCCTAGGAGATTCCTTCTCCTTTAGACAATGTAATCCCTGACACTTCCAACCCCAGCTGTGTCCACCAGCCGGTCTTGAGTGGCTTCCTCAGGCCAACATTGTTAATGTTATTTATGTTCTTATGTGCGGGGAGGGAACTGTGTGCTCTAGAAGTTTTGGCCCATGACAGCCAGTCTTTGAAGATCACAGTAAGAACGAAGGATGTCACACTTGGGTTGGCGAGGAGGGGAAGAAATGCTTTCCTTTCAACTTTTCTGGCAGGAGATCCAACAAGGCCAGCAGGAGTGAGGATGAAGGGTGAAGTTTGCAAAACACAGATTTTTTTTAAAAAAATTTTTTTTGGTGATCCAGCATTGCACACGCTTCTCTCTGCTGCAACCGTCATTGCAAAATAAACTTTGGAGGGACCATGCTGAGACCGAGCATGAAAAAAAGAAACTCTGAAACTTAGTTGCAGGAAGAAAGAGGAACAGAGTTCACCTGCTCCCAGGAGGGAATGAGGAGTGTTAAAATCCCTGAAATCAGCAACAAAGATGGATTGGCAACTAAGCAGCCTCCCAGATGTTGCTGGACTGCAACACCCAGCATTCCTCACCACTGGCTACACTTGCTAGGGCTGCTGGGAGTTGCATTGCAAAAACCTCTGGAAGGCTTTATAATATCCAGGGGTGTGGTTACAAGAGGAGACAAAATGAAGGCACTGCACCCAATGAGACATCTGTTTGCCCATGGAATTTCCCCCCAATTTCTAGCATTGCAGAGAGTGAGATGCTGAAAATCTTTCACACCTAGAACTCTTCTATTTGCTGGGTTCCCATTCCCTTGGTCACTTTGCCTGCCCTTGCATGCCTGAACCACATTTCTAAATGTTCCCCTGAAATTTTAAGTTACTGCTTTGCTTGAAATCTGGGGACTGAAGAAGAATTCTAGTAAGAGTTAAGGTCTGATTTGCTCTCATACCCATTCAGTTGTCTTCTTAGCTATCCATGCTATCTGCAAAACTCTCCTCTGGCGCCACATTTCCAATGCATTGGTCAGCTTTCTACACTTTCCAGCTTTCAAAATTATACATAGAATTTGGAAATATGATGGTACAGACAACCTTGCTTTTATTTAATGATATATATATTTACACCTGAGGATCTTCTCAGGTTTTCCCTTGCTTCCCTTCCAAGTTTTAGTCTTCTCATTCCTTGACCACATTTTTTGCCCAACGTTTAAAAAACAATAAATCCACCCTAGCACTAATCTTTTCTACAGAGGTAAATTGATTCAATATAAGGAGATCCTTGCTTTGATGGGGAGGAATTGGTTCAAAGTAACACAACTTCAGGTTCAAAGTAACACATGAATGTGATATATCTTACCTAATCCCTTTGTTTTGCGCAATGCTGTGGTGTGACAGTCTGGAGACAGCTGAGATCACCTGAGAAAAAAGAAAGAAAGTTTAGATGCTCAGCTTAAAAAGCAAACAAAAAAGTTTAAAAAGCAAACAAACCTCCAACTTTTTTGGACTTATCAAGAAATAAATGAAGAAAGAAAAGGGAAGGGAAGGGATATATGATAGAATATATAGCATAAGAATTATGGCATACATAAGAGTACTGTGATAGCCTTAACTGTATTTTATTAACAAACAGTGGATATAAAGATAATGATCTCCTTGGTCATTAGTAATTTCAACAGTATGATGAGTTCTCATTGCATACAACTCTCTCATGTACACTAACTATTTATGAGCAGCTAATAGAGAATGTGTAGCCTTAAATGTACATCCTAATGTCTCATCTTCCATTTTTGAGGTACCCATGGACACCTCCCTTGATATCCAAGGTTGTGATTCTTTCACACACCCCATCAGAAAACATAATGTTTCAAAATCCATTAAGATCTGGGCAATCAGGAAATCAGAAGAAGACTAAGAATGGGGAAGGTGGCTATGAAAGAACTAGAAAAGAGTCTAAAATGCAAAGATATATAACTCAGCATAAAAATTAGAATCATATAAACCATCGTATTCCCTATTACCATGTACGGATGTGAAAGCTGGATAGTTAACAATGATGATAGGAAGAAAATCAAATGTATTTGAGATAATGTGGGGCTGGAGAAGAGTGCTGAGG